AGGCAGTGGCCCTGGTGGAAGGCTTCCTCCTGAGCCAGGCGGAGGAGCAGAAGGAACAGGTCAAGTTGCAGGTGAGAGACCTTCATTTTGGGAGCCCAGAAGGTGTTTGAATGGAATAAACAATGTGTTTGAATTCTTAACCCCTCCCAACCAGAGTTCTCTGGCATTCATAATATGTGGAAATGTTTCACTAATTCTCATAGGACATTGTTCCATTATCCATTCTAGAAGATAGATCTGGGACCACCATTCCTTTCTCACTTTCCAGCCTCACTGATGGACACTGGGGGCTTTGAAGTTGTGTTCAGAGAACAAGAATCCACTTCTTGTGGATTATATGTTGTGTTATATCCATTAATTCTTCTTCTTTTCTCCTGCCTGTTTCAAGTCCTTCTCTGTGGACACTGGAGATCCTGAGGGAAGGAGGAATCCATCAGATCCCCCTCAGAAGCTGTTCTTCAGGACAATCTCTCAGGAAGATCCAAGTCAGGACACCTCAGGAGGTAATCAAAGGTCCTCCCTTTCCTCAGAGAGATCCCAGCTGTCTCATCTTCTCTATGTCTTCTCTTCTGTAGAATACCTCCTCCTATTTTATTAATTATGCATTTTAAATTCTGTCTCCCTCACAGGGAAAAATAAAACAAAGTTGTCTGGTCTTTATGGTGGATCTGAAAGAGTGGTTGAACCTCATCAAGTAAGAGGAGAAAAATTATTTATTAGATTTGTATTCTCCCTTTCCTTCAGGAAGTCAAGCTGGTATACATAGCACTCCTTCCATTTTTCACCCTTGCTTCAGCTGGGTTATTTTTGTGTTCCCGACCAATATAGAAAATTCAAAAGAGATTCTTATTAGGAAATCTTTTTTTTTTAAGACCAGTACTTAACTCTCCTTGTGCTAATTACTCTCCCTAGTTTTCAGTAACTATTTTTTTACAGAATCCTTCAAGAGAGGCATTCTTTTTGTAATTCTTTGACTTGGAATTCAGCAAGACTGCTCAAAAATAACTAGATATTCACAGTGGCACATTACCATTTTTAAAAAGCCTTGTTTACAACCAGTGATAAGAAAAATAAGCACATCAGAGTAAAAGATAAGGCAGACTATTGAAATCCTATGAAGGTGGCCAGATAGAAAAGTCTCTAAGTAAAAATTGCTATGAAAGAGCACGTAATCAAGGCACTTTTGGCTTGCAAAGTAATTTCTAATCCTCTGATTTGTGCCTGGATTTGGAGGCCAAACAATCCAGCTTTGCAAAGGGTAAGAAATGTCCTTCCGAGGAAATTTTCTCCGCTTTCTTGTCTCCCATTCAGCCAGTGGCTCGGACTACTAGCAGCTTCCTTGCAATCTGAGGAGGAGAAGAACCTGGGTTGCGTGTCTCTGGATATTGATGGCCCCCCACCCAAATCCCTGGCTGAGCTCTCCCAGCACTTTAATGAACGTGTTGAGCATGGACAGGATTGGTTCTTCTGGGGACACCACAAGCCATTTGCTGAAATGCTAGAAAGAACCCCCCCCCCCCCCTCGCCCTTCTCCTCTACACAAACGGAAAAGGTGGGGAGACGGAGGGGGGTTATAGTAGATCTCATTC